TCTGTCCACTGATTCCTTCCCCAAGTGGCCAAACTGTCTAGGACTGAGCCAGGTTGAAAAAGCCAGGTACCAGAAGCTTGTATTGAGCTCGCCCAGGTGGCTGGCTGGTACCAAGCACTTGGGTCCTCTCCTGCTGTTTTTCCCAAGCTATCAGCAGGGTTGTGGATTGGAAGTAGAGCAACCAGGACATGAATGTCTGTAAGACATGCCCAGTTGAGGGCCCAGCACGGTGGCGCAAGTGGTTAAGGTCCTTGCCTTGCACGCCCGGGATCCCATATGGGCGCCAGTTCTATCCCAGCAGTCCCGCTTCCCTTCCAGCTCCCTGCCTGTGCCCCGGGAAAGCAGTCGAGGATGGCCCAGAGCTTTGGGACCCTGCACCCACGTGGGAGACCCAGAAGGGTCTCCTGGCTTCGGATCGGCATAGCATCGGCCGTTGCGCTCACTTAGGGAGTGAATCATCAGACGGAAGATCTTCCTCTCTGTCTCTCCTCTCTGTATATCCACCTTTCCAATAAAAAGTAATAATAATAAATCTTTTAAAAATAATAATAATAAAATAGTTCTTTAAAAAAAGACATGCCCAGTTGATATGCTGCATAGTATGTCCACTTCTCAGGCTGCAGCTTTACTTGCCTCTCCACAAGGCCAGGCTTGTATAGTAATATGTCCTTTTTAACTATCGATCTTAAAAAGATACAAAGCAAAGTTCGACAAAACTATATTTGCAGGGGGTGGGGCTTGGGGAGGGAAGGGGGGAGTCCCAGTGCCTATAAAACTGTGTCAAATAATGCAATGTAATCAATTAAAAAAAAAGGAAAAAAACTATATTTTCAGCAGTACTGACACACAGACATTTCTTTGGGTTTTTTTTATATACTTTATAAAATATATAAATATGTATGTGTATTTTAATTTTAGCTTCTACACACAGGTTTTGGCTTTCTGTTTCCAGATTAGTTCACTCAAAGTAATATTCTCCATTTTGATGCAGATGATTGAATTTAATTCTTTTTGTAGCTGAATAATATTCCATTGTCTGTATGTGTGTCTATGTGAATGCTGCCTTTATTTGTCCATTTGTCTATGGATGGTGAGCTTGGCTAATTCGCTGCTTGGGTTATTATGAGCAGTCCTGCCGTGATGAGGCTGGTTCTGGAATCTCTTTGATACAGCGTGTTCATGCCTTTGGGGTATGTACTCAGTAGTGGGATTCCTAGATCGTGTGGCAAACCTATTGGTAGTTTTTAAGGAAACACCTGTGCGATCTTCCACAGTGGCTGTGCTGATCTACATTCTCACCGACGCTGTGAGGGTGTCCCCTTTCTCACATACTTCGCATCAGTTGTTATTGTCTTCTGTTTTTTAGCCGTTCCGACAGGGGTCATGTGTTATCTCATTATGGCTTTGTTTAGTGGTGCATTAATGGCTAGCAAAGTCAAGAATTATTTTATATAATTGTTGGCTGCTTTTATTTCTTCTTTTGAGAACTGTCTATTGAGGTTCTTTGCTCAGCTTCTCATTGGATTAGTTGTTGAGTTTTTTGCTTGCTTTTTAATATTTTGGATAATAATCCTTTGTGGAACAGATAGCTCGTTTTTATTTTTCCCACCTGGTTGGATGTATTTATTGTTTCCTTTGCCGTGCAGAAGCTTCTGGGTTTCATATAATACCATTTGTTTAGTTTTGCTCTTGTTTTCTGGCTTTGGGGTCTCATCCAAGAAGTTATCACCTACAGCAATGTCTTGCAATGTTTCTGTTATATTTTCCTCAGTAACTTCATAATAGCAGGTCTCAAATTGAGATCTTCAATCCATTTGGGTTGATTTTTACTTACGGTTAAAGGTCGGGATCTAATTTCATTCTCCTGCTTATATACATACAGTTGGTTTTTAGAGATTTACTAATTTGAAATCCATAGGTAGAGAAAGAGAGAGAGATTCCATTTGCTGGCTCCCTTTCTTGGTGACTGCAGTAGCCAACATTGGGCAGGCTGAAGCCAGGAGTCAGAAACTTCATCCGGGTCTTCTCCGTGGGTGGCAAGGGCTCAAACCCTTAGACCATTTTCCCCTGCATTACTTGAGTCATTGGACTTGTCAGTATTGCAGGTGGTAGCATCAACAACAGCCCCTAAATGTCTAGTGTTTCTAGCACTATTTATTCAAGAGTTTATCTCTTATCCAATGTATGGTCTGCACAGTTTTGTTTTTGTTTTTTTTTAAGGTTAGCTGTATGGTCATGAGTAAATTTCTGGACTCATCTATTTTGTTTCATGGATCCCTGTGTTAGTTTTTACGCCAACACCATGTTGTTTTAGTTACAATAGCTGCTTTAAATCTAGGAACCAGCAATTTCTTCTGGGTCTCCCATACAAGTGCACAGTTCTAAGGCTTTGGGCCATCCTCTGTTGCTTTCCCAGGCCACAAGCAGGGAGCTGGATGGGAAGCGGAGCAGCCAGGACACTGTCTGGCTCCCATGAGGGATCCCGGCTGGTGCAAGGCAAGGGCTTTAGGCAGCAGTCTATGGCACTGGGCCCTTTTTTACTTTGTTAGTCTGGCTAAAGTTTTGGATGTTTGGTGGATCTTCTCAAAAATCCAGCTTTCTGTAATAGTAGTGTTTGTTCCATGTAATCCACTCCTTCCGGTTATTTTCAGCCTTACTGGGTTTTAGAGTTATGGTACCAATCTGATGTAGTTGATCAGAGATACTCTACATTCCTGAGTTTGTTACTTACCTGCATAGGAAATTGCACGATGATCATTACTCTCCCTAAGCACTGGGAGAATCTCACTTCATTGCCAATTGTCTTTGATATCTGATGCTCCTGCTGAAACACCTGCTGTCATTCACTGTCATTTCTCTGTAGATAGTTGACTATGTTATGGATCTGTGGTTTTACCAAAATGTGTGTAATTGTGGATTTGTGTGGATGACTGTGCTTACTGTGCAGTGTACACTTTCAGTGTAAGGCTTTGTTTTGTCTTTCAATTCTACACCTGTCCCAGTCAGCCTCCCTTAAAATATCACTTTCCTGACAATGTAGTAATTCTCTTTTATGATGAAAATCCTACTGGTTCACAGTGGAGCTTTCCAGAATCACTGTTCTACTTGTTGTGTTCATAGCTCTCTAATGAATTCTGAGGATTTTCTTGGGGATTGTCACAATTTCACTTTGGGGTTGCTTCAGGAAGCGCTTTTGGATAGTAAGTCTTCTTATTGGCTTTGTGTTTTTGTTTTCTTCCTTTCCATTTTGCATTATCTCCATTCTTGTTTTGTATTTTTGTTTTATGCTTTTGTTTTACATTTTCTTCTTCCTGAGATTTAAGTTTGAACCTAAATCTCACTTCAATCCCTTTCTCTGATTCCCTTCCTGCAGCTAGATACTTTTAGAAAGACATTGTTGGCACAATCTTGTGAATAGCATAACCACAGCCTGTGACTTAATCAACACCCTGAAAACCTGGTCCCCCACTACGCAGGGTGAGACATTTTACACAGTGTTGGAGTATGCAACATTTACCCCTTTCTGATTTTGTGTGTGAACTACAAAATGAGGTGGCTTGAGCAAGCACTGTAATTTTTTATGTGAATTTTTTTCTTTTAATTTTTTGTATAATCTTACATAGTTGATTAGGATGCAAAGGGTCAAGGGCTACAGGAAAGTGGGTAAGATCATTGTTACCACACTAATGTCATCATTCATTTTTTCCCCCGTATCTTGGGCCAGGGGAGAAGTAAAGGGATTTTTTTAAATGGGGTGTTTCTCTGATTTTGAAGACTATGCTGTTTTAAAAAGTATCATTCTCTTCTGAACTGAAAATACAATTTTTGTATTTTTAAAATTTATCTAAAAGACAGAAGCAGGCAGAGTGAGAGCTTCCATCTGCTGGTTTACTCCCCAGATGGCCACAACAACCAGGCCTAGACAATGCCAAACCCACGAGCCAAGAACGCCACCCAGGTCTCCCGTGTCCGTGAGAGGAAGCCACATGCTTGAACATCGCTGCTGCGTCCCAGCGCGCAGATTAGCAGGAAGCTAGACTGGAAGCTGAGTGGTAGCCAGTGCTCGAACCACGAACTCCAGTGTGGGATGTGGGAATCCCAAACAGTAACTCAACTGCTGCGCAAAATTCATACCTCCCAAATACGATGTTCCAAGAACAAGCTCACAATGCAAAAATGACTCGAGGTGCTTTGTATTTCAAGACTTACTGTTCTTAGGCACACAGGATAACATACGCACAAATTCATGCTGAATTTGAAGCTATACCAAAATAACTTTTTTCTTTCTTATCCACAGCCCCGTCCTAGATCAGGGTTGATCTTGCAAATACTTGGAGATAGTAACTCATTTCATCTAATTTATAAGGTTACAGGTACAGAATTCTGTACCCAGTGTTTTATTTACCTTCCATAACATATAAATTATACCAAAGCAATTTAACAAGTTTTTTTTTAATTTTCTTTGAGGTCTTTATTAAATTTAAATAGATTTGAAGAATGAAGGTAACCTCACAATGTTGCTTAGCTAGAAAAACCCGGCAGCATTGATTTAAGTAAACCACAATTCACCATTCTGTAAAAATTACCAGCTGGAGAAATGAATTGATCATAAAGCTGTGACAATCTAAAGGTGTTCAATACGGAAAGCAGATTAATCTTTCTTGAGTAATGAAGGAAATTACGAGTAAACTTTCAAGCCTTAACTTGAGTACTTATTAGACATCATGGGCAAGTGACAATTAATATTACTGTTATTTCAGGTAGCGGAGAACTGAAGAATCTTGCTCCTGAAGTTTTTAAAAATAGTGTCCTAGAGATTTTTCCAGAGAATTTTCAGTGTGGCTGCTACAGCTTATTTATGTGCCCTTCCGGAGCGTATCCCCATGGGCCCTTTGTTAAAGGCTATGTTCTGCAGCATACGGTGACTGTGCTTATCATGGCTCTGTCACACCCTATGTTTTCTCTCTTGTTGCAGCCTGTTGGGTACCGAAGTAGTTGCAATGCGCAAAAGGCAGCAGTCACAAAATGAAGGAACACCTGCTGTGTCTCAAGCTCCCGGAAACCAGAGGCCCAACAATACGTGTTGTTTCTGCTGGTGCTGTTGTTGCAGCTGCTCCTGGTATGTTGCAGTATCTGTGTGTTATATTATCATACCTGTGCTAGATATTAACTAGAGCAAAAATACATGCCTAATCTTAGCATTGTAGAAGCTTTCCAATATATCTCTTTTTTCTTTTGCAAGTGGAAATGAGTGAAGACTATCATTGATTTCCACAAGCAAAATAGACTGATTTCCTCAGATTCTACATTTAAAGTGATACTAAGGTAAAAATTATTTTATCTTTTTAGATTTTCATCCTTCTTAAAGGTGATGTATACACAAGACCTTAGTGATATTTGTGTCAATAAAAAATATTCTCCACTATTAGAAAGGTGCAAAAACTTAGGTTAGATGATGGCTAGTAGCACTGTATGTATTGAATACAGTATTGTGTGCCTCTTATTAGGATGGTTAATTATTTCATTGCATAGCCAGAGAACCAGGAGCTCGGGGGCCAGGGGCCAGTGTCTCCACCATAGAACTCCGGCCAATAAAGAGGAGGGAGACAGAATCGCCATAGGGTCGTGAGCACCAATCTAAAAGAGTAAGGGTTGTGCTTACTGTGAAGGCCAAGTCAGTTTGCTGAAAACTCAAACCAGAGGTGCAGAACCTGCTTTCTGTTGCAGCGTTATTGCTGGAGGCTGGCACTGGTACCCTGTCAAAGCTTGTTCTTTGGTGCCCTCATTGATTAAAGATTGAGTTGGACATGCTGATCCCCAAGGTCCTGTCTACCGCTGAGTATCCATGATTTGAGGGCCTCATAGAACCAGTTCCAATTCTCTGGTTCCAGATTTCCAAGTTGCCTTTCAGTGGGAAAATCATCAGGACCCAAAGTCCAAATCAAGATGATGCATGTGGGATTCTTCAAGGTGGTTTGGACTTAATGGAACTTTCTTCTGAATTATAATTTTGGGATCTCTAGAGATGCTGTTTGCAAGTGGATCCAGACTGACAATGTCTTCTTCATCTTCTCTGCCTGTTTCAAAACTTGAATAAAGGCCCCAGTATTCGAATCATCTCTTTTTGCATAACCTCTATAGTTCCAAACACTCATTGAGGACAATAGTAGTGTCCTTGTGGCCAAAATGTAAGATAAATGTGATCAGTTGTAGTGATAGCCCTTTATGTTGAGAAAAACTCCCCCGGCACAGAAAACAAAACCCAACTCCCCAAAAGCCATCACAAGTTGTAGTAATCTGAAAGAATTGACAAAGTTTTTGTGAGTATCAAAATTGCTACCTAGATCACGATTCTTTCCTCGGAAAAGTTGTCTGTGATATCTTTGCCTTCATTCTCAACACAATTTTAGGAGGAAGTAGATTTCTAAGTGAGGTAAATATTTCCATCATGATTGTATAATTCTTTGTTTTTCCATTTCACTCCTAAAGATATCGTGCAGATCTTATTCTGTGAAATACTGCGTAGTAACTTAATCCTGTGGTTCTACACTTGATGTTAGCCAAAAGACCAAGAGGTTATCACCCTGTGGTTCTGAACCAGGTCCGTCCTCATCCATAACTGTTTGTGTGACGTTCATCAACTTTATAACTCCCTCTGGTCCCACAGATCCTTGTCTGCCAGAGGACAGTTACACAAGGCTATTCCCCTAAACCTACCCTAAGTGCAAAACACTATCTGATACATAGTCATTTAATAGCAGTTTCCTAGACTCTATGGAGCACAACATATTGAAACTATAAAATCCCAGTAAAGGAAAATAATCTGCTTATTGATAAAGCCCAAAACTTATCTTGGAAAACAGAACTATCTGGGATTTTGTAAAAATATTGAAAATAGTTGTAGTGTTGAGAATTATTTGTTTCCCGTTTCTTTTTGCCAGGTTCCTATAATGAGTATATCATTTTATTTACCTGCACAGTTTCTGAATTGCTTCATGATTAAAACATCAAAGCATTACAAGCATGTTCTGTTGTGTTGCTGATTTTGGCTGTTAAATCAATAGCAAAACTTGGCCTTAGCAATTCTTGAAGTCCACGTTAAATCACAGAACATTTCACGTTAGCTCATAATGATCAGATATTGTAGGAGATAGACTGAGGACCGATAACAAAATAATTCTTGGAAGATGCCTTCACTGGCCACACCTCTAGGGTGACACACATTTTGCGATCCTGAACAGGAGGTGCATTGGCTGTGAACTCTGTTAGTTTGAGGGTGAAGAGTCAAGGTCAAAAACTGCATTTATTAGCCCTGAGTCACGGCTGCCTGAGTCCAGCCTAGCAGCTTACAGATCCTTCTGTGTATAATAAATGATAGGTCATGTCTATTGCAAACAACTCGACATCTTAAAAGGAGAATAAAAGCTCAGTTGTCTTGAACCAAGGATTTTAATTATCACCATATTGTCTTATCAAAAGCGAGTATGTTCTTTATACATGCATTCTTTAAAAAGCATTGTTTTTGAGGTTAGAAAAGAATATCTTAAAGGCCGTTTCAGTGAGTAAAAAGGAAAGGCATAGTGTTCAGAGTTTCCAAGCTAGGTCAAAGGAGCAGAACAAAAAGAGCCACTAGGAAAGAAAAACTGTAATTTAGGCACTAAAAAAAAAAAAAAGTGAAAATAAAAATGTGACAGTACTGTCATTTGTGAATAGGACTAGTTGTCATGTGCCTGATTTTACCTCCTTTTAAGGAAATAAAGAGCTCTGAAAATAAAGTTCTATATCTAGTAACAAATACGAATGCTTCACCCTAGCCGTGCATGTTAAGGCTGTCCGAGCAACGTGTTGTCTTCAGATATCCGTTTCTCATTCACATTTCTTTGTGTTTTTTTTTTATTGTTGCTTACATTATGTTATGTAGTACAGTTTTATAGGCGCTGGGGATCCCCCCACCCCTCCCATACCCCTCCCCCCATGGTGGATTCCTCCACCTTGTTGCATAACCATAGTTCAAGTTCAGTTGAGATTCATTGCTTGCAAACACATGCCTAGCATAAAGTTCAGCGTCTTATTGTCCAGATAAGTTCAGTGGCCTCTTGGGGAGACCTTCTATGGTCTGAAGATAGGTCTAACAGAGTAAAGATCCGGTCAGTTAAAAGCCCCAACAAGGCCTCAGTATCATTATACAACATTATGGAATTAATTGACATAGTATTGGGTAAACAATATGTTAAAAATAATGCAAGTTCCATTCTTCGAAACATCTGGGTTGAGACAGTATCAATGACAGGTTCAAAAAATAACAAACAACCAAACAAAAAATTACAGGTTAAATCAAGGCAAACATGTGGTATCTAATCTTTTGGGATTCACTCATTTCCCTTAGCATTATAGTTTCCAGTTGTGCCCATTTAGCCACAAAGAACTGCATTTTGTTTTTTTTAATAGCTGAGTAGTATTCCATGGAGTAGATGAACCAAAGCTTTCTTATCCAATCTTCTGCTGATGGGCATTTTGGTTGCTTCCATGTTTTCGCAATTACTGATTGTGCTGCAATGAACATAGGGATGCATGTTGGTTTGTCGTAAAACAGGTGTTTTGGATATATTCCTAGGAGTGCTATTGCTGGGTCATATGGTATGCAGATTTTGAGTTGTTTGAGTGTTCTCCAGACTGATTTCCATAAAGGCTGTACCAATTTGCAGCTCCACCAGCAGTGGAGTAGGGTTCCCTTTTCCCCGCATCCTCGCCAGCAAGCGTCGTTGGTGTTCTTGTTTATGTGGGCCAATCTTACTGGTGTTAGGTGGTACCTCATCGATGTTTTAATTTGGATTTCCCTTATTGCTAGGGAGCTGGAACATTTTTTCATATGTTTGTTTGCCATTTGGACTTGTTCCTTTGTGAAATGTTTGCCCATTTCCCGTGCCCATTTCTTGAGTGGCTTGTTTGTTTTGGTTTTTTGGTTGTTTTGAAGTTCTTTGTATATCCTGGAAATTAGCCCCCTATCGCCTATATCGTGTGCAAAGATCTTCTCCCACTCTGTGGGTTGCTTTTTTACTTTGTTGATTGTTTCCCTTGCTGTACAGAAGCTTCTTAGTTTGATGAGGTCCCATTTGTTTATTCTGTTCTCAACTGCTATTGCTTTTGGTGTCCTTCTTAGAAAGTCGGTACCTACTCCTAGGTCTTGCAGGGTATTTCCTACATTTTCTTGCAAGAGTTTGAAGGTTTCTGGATGTAGGTTTAGGTCTTTTATCCATGTAGATTGGATCTTAGTGTATGGTGATAGATGTGGGTCTATCTTTTTGTTTCTACAGGCTATCAGCCAGTTGTCCCAACAACATTTACTAAAGAGTCCTTCCCACTTGCTTAAGCTGTCATTGGTCTTTTTGTCAAAGATTAATTGGCTGTATCTGTGTGGATTCCCTTTTGGTGCTTCTATTCTATTCCATTGATCTTCCTTTCTGTCTTTGTGCCAGTACCAGGCTGTTTTGATAACCACTGCTCTATAGTATGTCCAGAGGTCCGGGATTGTGATTCCCCCTGCTAAATTCTTATTTTTCAGGATGGTTCTAGCTATTCGTGGTTTTTTGTGTTTCCAGATGAACTTTTGAATCATTGTATCCAGTTCCGTGAAGAATGTTTTGGGCAATTTGATTGGAATTGCGTTGAAAATGTATATTGCTTGTGGTAGTATAGACATTTTAATGATATTGATTTTGCCTATCCAGGAGCACGGGATGTTATTCCATCTTTTGAGGTTTTGTTCAATTTCCTTTTTAAATAGTTTGTAGTTTTCTTCGAATAGGTCTCCTACACTTTTGGTTAGATTTATTCCCAAATACTTCATACTTCTCTCTGCTATTTTGAATGGTATCCTGTTGGTTAGATCTTCTTCCATCTTGGTGTTATTTGCGTACACTATGGCTGTTGATTTTCGTTCGTTAATTTTGTACCCCGCCACTCTGCCAAACTCTCGTATAAGTTCTAGCAGTTTCTGTATTGAGTCTCCTGGTTTTTCTATGTATAGGATTATGTCATCTGCATATAGTGAAAGCTTGACTTCTTCGTTTCCTATACGTATGCCTTTGATTTCTTTTTCTTGTCTTATGGCCTCTGCAA